TGAAAATTTGAAGGGGGTTTAAAAAAAGGGCCCCCTGAGTGTTGGGGCTTGGAGAGAAAATTTTTTTGGGTGGTGGCAAAATGGGATGTTCCATGTAGAGGCAGGGCTTCAAACATTGCAGCGAAGAGACTGTAGGAGTTGAGATGTCATGTTAAGAGCAGCGTCTGGCGGAATATTATGTAGAGAATTTGCAACGAGTAATTAGAAGATGGTTGGGGTTACCACGTCGTCTTCTGTGAGGGCTGTTGAGGTGGTTTTGGTATTTAGAAAGGATTGACTGAATAGGATGACTAAAAAGGCATAAAAATCTGGGGGTGGAAGGAGGAAGCAGTATGGGTTGTCCCAGAAGGGTGGAGGAAGATGGAAAAAAAAAGGTTTTGAATACTAGTGTCTTCACCATCCAACAGGCTTATGCAAAAGTGTTAGAATCAAAGTCAGTGGAGACAAGTAGTTTTATGGCTTGACGAGCTGCTGGAGGTGAACAAGTAAACGTTTATGAAAGGATTTAGGGAAACTGGTTAGCAGAACTTGAGTTCTGGAGGAGGAAAGTATAGTGCCTGCACTCGAAAGGAGGGGTGAGAATGTTACAGTTTGGAGAATTGTCTGAACTGTGATGTCAGCACACTTCTGGCAAGACAGTCATTGAATGAATGATTTTTTTTTTTTTTGATGGGGGGGAGGGGCACACTTTTGGTGTTAGATGGTTGGTGTTATATTAAAATAAGTTAAAACTACAGAATTTAACATTATCCTCTTTTCATAGACATTACCTGATTCCTTTGGCATTACAACAAAAGAGCAAATGGAGGAAGAAAGGCTTAAAGCTTCACATCTTTGGAGAACATACTTTTGTTGCCAAACATATGTCCAGGTACTTATTTTCATTTCAGTAGTGTTATGCTTTCATTAATGTTGTTGTATGTTTAGTAGTGAGTATTTTTGAAGTTTTAGTGATGAATTGTCTAGTATATTCCATATACTGTACTGTATATACTTTGTTTTGCATAACTTTCATAGCTAATAATACACTGTTGGAGTATAGCTGAGAGCCAAGTGGTGGAAAGATGTGTTTACCAGAAGGAGACCTTTTATGGTTTTTCATATACATGATAAAGCCCCTTGTTGGTGAAACATCATAATAATCATAAGAAACCTTTTTCTTTGTCTTTTTCCACTAATTAATACAGTTTATGTAGTTTAAGGGGGTGGGGAATGTTTTAAGTTGTTTTTTATTTTTTTTCCAGTTTCAGTGAAATTTATACTGTGATTTAATCAGCATTTGAAACCTACGCTCTGTTTGTAGTGACTTTTTCCTTAAAAAAAAAAAAAAAAAAAATAGTACCCTATTCTAGAGGGCATAAAACTCTCCCTCTACAAAATTGGTTAGACGTATAATGTTATAGTTAACATCAAATGAAAGATAAAGGGCTAGACAATCATTTCATCAATGTCGTTTGTGCGAGATGTCAATAGATTGGATAATAAAAAATTTGAAGTTTGGTGGGTTTTTTTTGTTTTGTTTGGGGAAAAAATCAATGCAAACAAAATGGTAAAAAAATATCCCTCTGTAATTTAGTAGAACCATCATTCCTTAATAATGTGTGCAAATATCATGACACTCGTGTAAATACTTTTCGCAAAACAACAAAACGATGTCAATAAACTTATTCCTGATTTATTCGTATATGTACATTACATTTCCTGTAAAATTCTATGGTCACGACACGCCAAATCTCAGCATCTTCTACATCACCACTCTTGACGGCAGCCTATAGGCTCTCGCTCTGAACACTAATATGGAGTCGACACACAAGTTGCCATTTTGTGTATTTGAAAAGAAACAATCATAAAAATTGTAATTTTTGGAGTAAAAAAAAAAAAAGTAATTGGCATGCCCTTGATGACCAAAAGGACAAAACCATTACATTTTTGGAAAAACATATACTTAGAAATAAGATACAAACAAGCTGATTACATCAATATGTTGCCAGAATTATGCACTATTTTTCGGTAAGAAAACATTTTTTCCATACATTTTCAATTTTCCTTTTTTTTTTTTCTTTCCAAATACATTCGTTCCCCCACTTAACATTCCTCTTGCTTCTGTACCACAGTTCAACACCGTGTGAAGTGTGTCATAAAACGTTAGGAAGAAGATTTGGAAAACAAGGCTATGTTTGCCGGGACTGCGGCTTCAAGTGTCACAAGCCATGCCATGTGAAGACAGAAACCGTCTGCCCAAACTCTACCATCAACACTATGGACCTGTAAGTTACCATGCAGCATACATTTTAATTTTGTTGAATTTAAATGTGTATTTATAGCTGCACTTTAGTTCAGAGTTGTTCTCCCCAGAAATTTCTGAAGCATTTCAAAAAATTTCAGTCCTGATAAATTAGTTTGCACTGACCACTTTTATATGACTCCTTAACCCTTTTGACTGTTTATGTCGTATAAATACGTCTTACGAGCCACTGTTTCTGACGTATATATACTCAATTCTAGCGGCTTCAAATCAAGCGGGAGAAAGCTGGTAGGCCCACATGTGAGAGAAAGGGTCTGTGTGGTCAGTGTGCACCACATAAAAAAAATCCTGCAGCACACAGTGCGTAATGAGAAAAAAAAAATTGATCGTTTTTTTTTGGATTAAAGCGTCGACTTTGAGGTGCATTTTTGTATAGTATTTATCGTTGTATTCGCGTTTTCATGGTCTTAGGTGATAAAATGGAAAACATATTACAGAAATAGAGATGATTTTCATTACTTTGACGATGAAAACGACCTTGAAACTGAGCTCAAAGTAGCGGGAAATGTTCGATTTTTACCAGTGTTCAGGAGTAAACAAATCACACCACACGTCCAATACACGTCAACTGGGGAGTCTAATATTCTTTCACTAGTGCACTGATATTATTTATACCATTTTTACAATAATGCAGTAGTCTGCATACCAGTAAATTTTGTACTTTTTTGTATGAATAAAAAATCAAAATAGAAAGCAATAATAATGTAAGAAGGGCCTAGAGATGTGACTAATGAACAGAGGATATGTTATTTTAGTGCCAAGAATGTCTACCTTGTTTATTCTGGACCCTCTTTTGAAATTGGCATCTTTTTTAATTTGCGTGAAATTGGCCAAATTGCCAATTTCTGACCACTATATTGGGTAGTTCAAATTGGTAAATGGGCAGTTTCTTGTACTCAGGTGATAGATAAAATGGAGTTCTAAAGAAATAGCTATGAATTTGGTCAACTGGAACAAAGGAATTGGCTGAAAACAGGGCTCAAAGTCGGCGAAATCACCGATACGCATATGTTGCCGAGACCGCTAACTTCGCAGAAGCGTAATTCCCTGAGTTTTCGACCAAATTTCGAACTTTTGTGTCATTACCACCGGAAAAGATTCTCTATCATTTCATAAGAAAAATAATTTTTTTTTTTTTTTTTTCAAAAATTTATCGACATAGAATGACAGTTTCAGGAAGGGGCCTGCGACAGTCAAAGGGTTAAAGGAAGTGCCTTGATGCCAGTGGAGTGCTCTTTATCCATTGAATTAGTTCTAACCCTCCACTTAGATTAAACCTGATTACCTGCCATTACTCATTTTCCCAGGAACTGTATAAACCCCCTGTGGGTTTAACACTTCCTCATAAATATAATATGAGCATTTTGTGTAAGAAATTAACATTGTTTAAACATGTTTTTAAAATATGGTGTAAAATTGTTTACAGTTCAATTCAGCCACTTAGTTAAGCCAAGGATTAACAGAAAACAAAGGTGGTTTTGCATGATAAAAGCACAAAGTGGGAATCAGGTAATTTTTATTTTGTAATGATGTTTCTAGAAACGTTGCCACATAAAATGTCTTATTAATTGCCCATGTGTCCGTTTGCCTGACACTTTTTATTTTGCATTTTTACTTTCGAATTCTTAATAGAGAAGACATGCATTTTTAGGTTTGGTGAAAACACTGAAAGATATTATGGTTAATTCTTTTATATTGTGTTTGTGGGTTTAGGCATGTGACAGCGTACAGTTTGTGTATAATTTGTTTTCACTTCTTGCACATTTTGTACTGCATTCTTTTTGCATGTTTAATAGATAATTTATTTCTTTTAGACTTTTTCAATGATTCATATTCATGCATTGTCCATATCACAAATATTTTTCAATAAAACTTGTATATGATTTATTTTGCTGTTATAAGTTGTACACTATTTTGTGGCTCTGTACATGTTATTTACCCTGTTTGATGTAGACTTAATGTGGATCGCCCAAGCAGTTTCTCTAAGTACCAGTAGCACAAATTTTACTTCAGTTATCATATGGTATGATTTTTATGATATAACATACAGTGCTTGTCATTAAAGTACATCGCCCCATCCCCTCTAAAATCATGACCACAAAATAGGTTGTCCTTGGACTTTAGGACATCCTTTAACCCCATGGCCTGGCTGGCAAAGCTCTCGCTTCACACACTGAGGGCCCGGTTCAATTTCTGTTGGGGTAGAAACATTTCGACACGTTTCCTTACACCTGTCGTCCTGTTCACCTAGCAGCAAGTAGGTATCTGGGTGTTAGTCGACTGTGTGGGTCACTCCTGGGGGACAAGATTGAGGACCCCAATGGAAATAAGACAGTCCTTGATGATGCACTGCCTTTCTTGGGTTATCCTGGGTGGCTAACCCTGCGGGGTTAAAAATCTGAACGAAATCTTTTCTTAACCATCCAGGATGTGATTAACACACATTCTTCAGGGTTTCATGGAGTGAATTCCTCTAGGACTTGTGGATGGCATCCTAGTGCTGGGGAAATGCGCTGATATTCTTCCTTTAGTAGATCTCTCTATCTTGGTCCAGAGGTCCTCAGTGGGGGTTTCATCTGGGAAGTTTCTTAGCCAGTTGTTGAAGAAGGATGCTCACAGTCATGAAGCAAATGAACAACAGATTTTGTGGTGTGGCAAGGAGCACAGTCTTCCATGAAAACCTTGCACCACACTGAGTGAAAGATTTGGGAACTTGATAATGGACCATTTCTAGATACGGTAGTACAGTTAATGTTAGTGGCAATGCTTTTCTAGGCTTCATGGGTGATGTGAGCGTATCATGAACACTGTCCATGAGGAATTGATGCAACCAGGTCCTTGTTGGACACCCAAATACATCACTGGCTTTTGCTGTTTCCTTCATTTGATGACCTGCCTTATCTAATCCAATGGTCTCTACCATTATCTCTTTCGTCAGTGACTAACTTTTGCCAATATTAATTCACCAATAGCCAAAAATACCCGACAAACTTCGCCCTCAAGACCACACAGTATGGGGGTACAACGGACACAAAACCTTCCACACCTCACAAGCCCAGAAAGCACTTTAGATGCAGCCAGTGGCCATGGGAATCCTGAGACATCCCACTTAGAGTTGCCAGGCCAGTTTAATTTTTGTCTCATTGACAGATGTACCAGGGTAGCGTATTACTTTGGACATGAAATTATGTTCAGTGCCTTCCACCCATTATACTTTAATGATAAGCACTGTATACTAGGTTCTGTGTACAACTTGAAAGTTGCTTGATAAAATTTAGTCTTTCTATAAAAGTGTATGTATGTGCCCTGCGATCATCAAATAAGATTCAGTACATCAGCTGCAAACTGTTCAGAATCTCAGGAACTGAATTTGCTTGGAAGTTTTTCTCATTTTTAACATTTAAATCACAAATGTCTACACTTTAAATGCCATGAAGAATGCTGATAAATTTATCTGAAAATACATGAGAGGAAAATCTTAGTGGAATTATTCTTTACAGCTTATGTATTACTTTGAGACAAATTATGTATGTGTGTGTGTGTGTGTGTGTGTGTGTGTGTGTGTGTGTGTGTGTGTGTGTGTGTGTGTGTTAGATAGAACTTGACGAGTTGCTGGAGTGTGAGCTTCGTAACATTTTGTGAAGGATTCAGGAAACTGGTTTGCAGTACTTGAGTTCTGGTGGTGGAAAATACAGTTCCTGCACTCTACATTTTAGAGGATCATTCAAACTGTAATATGGCATGCCTCTGGCAAGACAGTGATAAGATGAATAATGGTGAAAACATTTCTTCTTTTGGGTCACCCTACCTAGGTGGGAAACAACCAGTGTGTTAAAAAAAAAAAATGCCATATTTACAGTAGTGTCATATTTGTGCACGTGCATAAACTCATCACACAGATAATGAGAATGGTTATCATAAATTATTTTTTACATAAAATATTGAAATAGGTGTGGGTTAATCACCTTACCTAATATTTTGTCAGATTACCCTTCCTCTTGTTGCACTCCTTGTATCTTGTAGGAATCGATAAGGATAGAAAAGTCAGTACCTTCCCCACACCTTGAATGTTTGGGGATAGTGGACACATCCATGTAACAAAGTTTACTCTCCACAAGATTTCACATGTTCTTTTTATCAGTGTTAAGTCCATTGAGTTACCTAGACAGTCATTCAAGATTGAAATTTTGTGTTTAGTAAATCATTTGTCTTTGTCAGTACAATAAGCAAGTGACAACCATCTTGCATACAAAAGTTGACCTGGCACTTCTTAAAACTGTCAGCAGAAAGCCTGCTAAAGGTATACTTATATGTGTGCTTATTTTATAACACATACTGTTGGATATATTTTGGATATGTTTTTGTTATGGGGAAGGGCTAATTACTACTGAATTTTTTTTTTTTTTTTTTACAAGTCGGCCGTCTCCCAACAGGCAGGGTGACCCAAAAAGAAAGAAAATCCCCAAAATAAAAATAGTTTCATCATCATTCAACACTTTCACCACACTCACACATTATCACTGTTTTTTGCAGATGTGCTCAGGATACAACAGTTTAGAAGCATATACATAAAAAGATACACAACATATCCCTCCAAACTGCCAATATCCCAAACCCCTCCTTTAAAGGTGCAGGCATTGTACTTCCCATTTCCAAGACTCAAGTCCGACTATATGAAAATAACCGGTTTTCCCTGAATCCCTTCACTAAATATTACCCTGCTCACACTCCAACAGATCGTCATGGTCCTAAGTACCATTCGTCTCTATTTACTCCTATCTAACACGTTCACGCACGCTTTCTGGAAATCCAAACCCCTCGCCCTCAACACCACCTTACCCCCCTCTCTCCAACCCTTTTTAGGACGACCCCTACCCGCCTTCCTTCCCCTAAGATTATAGCTTTCCATGTCATTCTACTTGGATCCATTCTCTCTAAATGACCAAAAACCCCCTCAACAACCCCTCTTCTGCCCTCTGACCAATACTTT